ATACTGATTCATGAGAACGTTTATTTTTCGCAAAAACGTCAAAAACCTATTTGGAGATATATTAAACGAAACAGCCCATCGCTGGTTATTTCTACTGAAAACCAAATATGCATAACCCAATCAAAACGGATCCAAACTATATCAGAACATCAAGATGTCCTCTATTTTACTTTTGCTAAACTCCGAAATTTAATAAAAGTTGAAAAACTCCATAGAAAGTGCTTAAATTTTCCAAGTACGTAAGTAAGGAGTTGTTTTTCACTAATGGTAAGTGGAGGATCGGGTTGAACAAAAACCGGATACTTTTCTAATCTATCTTTCAAATATTCTGAAAACACAATGGTATACCTTTTAATTTGATACGGATATTGGTCTATATCTTCATTTTTATTTGTCTCATTCACAACTCGACAACTTCATTTAGACGAAAATGAAAACTATTCCTTTTAATCTTACCTGATATGATACAAGAATAACTTGATATGTCTTTTATTATATACCTTCAGATTATTACGAGTTTTTTTTGGCGTACATGCGTTATGACTCGACAATTAGAAATATTACGTCTTTATCACGATTTATTAAGATATGGTAAAACTCTACGTTACACAGACGTTGATTTTTATTTAAATCGTATTCGACAAGAATTTTCAAAAGGAAAAGCTTTAGAAAAAGAAGACGATATCGTACGGTATATTGCGGTAAGAGGGTTAACACATGTACTTTACCACAGCATCGCATCATTTTCATTCAACTGTCTCTGAGTGATCAGTTTTCATATTGTTTAGAATAAGAATGGTAATATGCGATTATAATATAGAAGAAAGTAACTTAAACTAGGAGAATAGGGTAGTAGAAAGAATTGTTTAGTTTCATGAGTTCTAATAGTTTTTCGCATTTTATTGAACGAAAGCGAATAGATGTATACCATTTCAGTTATTACATTCTTCACATATGTGAGCATAGATTCTTTTTTATGACATTAATTGTGCTCGAGAGATTAAAGATAGTTTTAAATTAAGATTAAAGATAGTTTTAAATTAAGATTAAAGATAGTTTTAAATTAAGATTAAAGATAGTTTTAAATTAAGATTAAANAGATTAAAGATAGTTTTAAATTAAGATTAAAGATAGTTTTAAATTAAGATTAAAGATAGTTTTAAATTAAGATTAAAGATAGTTTTAAATTAAGATTAAAGATAGTTTTAAATTAAGATTAAAGATAGTTTTAAATTAAGATTAAAGATAGTTTTAATCGAAAATTGGTCAGTTTTCTCTGATGTGCATAAAAAATGTATTACAAATGAGAAGTTACAGTTAGAAAAATGTCTTTTTGCTAAAATACTTAAATCAATTGGAAATAAGTACTACTGTACATTTTGAGCAATGTTTTTTCAAGTTGTTCCTAATGTTTCAACTAAATGGATTTTTCTATTTATTTCATTTAGAAAGGTCGTGAATTTTTGGCAAATAAGCGTGTTATCTAATGTTTCAAAATGAAGAGCACATTAACTGCAGCATTTTTTGTTTTCATTATATATTTTAACTACTTTTATTTATTTTCGTTATTTCGAACTAATCAAAGTTCATTTTCAAGAATAAATAAATTGTAATGGTGTACATCGTTTGATAAAAACGAAAATCTGATCCTTATGACACAAACATATAATATAGCTACCTATAGAAGGAAAGAAAATTAGGATAGAAGATAGTAAACAAGTAAAAAGAGATTCAACAGATAATAATAAAAAAAAAGAATATTTCTGTGCAAGATTAATGGGAGTTTTTATTCTGAAGTGATAAACTATAAGATCCGAGCTCTGACCCACTTGAAACAGCTGATAAATTGAGATCATATGTTCATAGTTTTCGTACGAGCACCAAACGCCCATTGAGTCTGTTTTTATGCATAAATAGTTCTTTCAGCTAATGCATAGGTAGGACGCAGGACAAATCTATTATTTTAACTCGTTCAGACACGAGTCAGATTGTAGTCATTTTAAATCGTTGGACTATGTTGCTAAACTAAATGTCCTTTCGAATGGCAGAGATATTTTTACTAAGTGAAACACTGATTTTTACTCTATTTAAAGAAGATTAATTATTATGTATTCTGTCAAGAATTGAAAAATCCGGTTTTATTTCAGAGGATATTCGTTGTGTACATCGACAGTCTTAGGACCTATCTCAGTATACATAGATTACGTAAACTACATGATGACGGAGCAGTATTACGACTATTATCTGTGACAAAGACATAGTTCTGGGCTTGGTAAGTTGTTAATCAACAAACTATCACTATCACATTTACGAGACCACAGAAGTGTATGTGAATCATTTTTCATGTTATCAATGAAGCAAAAAACCAAAACGATTCCATATATTTGATATGACTAAAATTATTGATAATATTACCATTATAGTTGACATTTCATATGTAAATTCATCTAAAATTTTAGTAGAAAACGAATAATTTTTATCAAAAAGAATTCAAAATTATAAACCGATCTAACAATTATATTGAGATCAACAAAAATGGTCGGCTCTTGTTTTAAACAAAATGCAAAGTTTCCGAAATGTTACAGTTTAATTTAATTAATGGAATCAATTGCATTGACTTTAATGATATTTATGTCTATAAAACAACGTAGCAATCGACTAGTGAAGCTTGATGCTCTAAAAAGTCTTTGAAAAAATGCAAACGAGTTTAAAAAGTCATTTCAATCTGTCTGTATCCAATAAAATTTAAATACTCTTCTTGTTTAACAAATAAAGATAAAATAACAATACTCTCAAGTAATACACAAACAATAAACGATAGATTCTCTTTTTTCGTCTATTACTGCCAATCTTAATCTCAAATTAACACTCTTCAAACATTATAGACAAAGTATAATATTTATTAGGACGGATCTGATGTTTGATCAGAAATCATTAATCTATGTGTGATCATTTGGTTAAAGAATCTTTAATATTCTTAAATCATTAAACTCAAACTTCTTTTCATCTTTCCACATAGAATTTTCTTTAATAATTGAGTTTACAATTTTCTTCATTTATATTTTAGGTACATGATTTTCTTTTCTCTATATAGTATGTACTAAGTATATACTGTTGTTACTGTACATTTCATTTCGAACGTATTATCTATCAATCATTTTAACATCTAATGTTTGTTCGTAAAATATTGAAACGTTGTTTATTTTTAAATTTATTCTATCGTAATAAACATGTTTACGTAGATCAACAACCCACATATTTCACACATCCACATCTATTAAAACAAAATGAATTAACATCAGGTATTACAAAACAAGAATATATTGATCGTCGAGAAAAATTACAAAATATAATTAGTCATTATCTACGTACACAATCACAAATGTTTAGTGAAGAAAATTTTTGTATTTTTTTACCATCATCTACACGTATCAATATGGGACCCGATGTCTTATATCAATTTAAACAACAAAGTGATTTTTTATATTTTACCGGTTGTTTACAACATGATTGTTGTCTTTTGTTGACTGGTAAAACGACACAAAATGATGGTCAATTTAAAACATATTTATTCTTATCTGAACGTCAAGATGATGATAATGAATACTATTCACGATGGTAAATTCGAATATTGTTTTCGATAAAAGACAATGGTATTATAATTCTCGTTTTCATTTAGGTTTGGTTCGTATATATCAGACAAAGTAAAAATTAGTAGTATGTACAATATTGATCATATTTATTCTATCAACGACTTACAAACATTTATAAATAAATCTAAACGTAATTATGTTTTATTTTATGATAAAGAGTTTGCAATAGAAACAAATTTAAATCAAAAACTTTTAAACGAACAATTAATGCCATTTGTTGGAACATTTTCAACTATCTTTGATAATTTAAAATTATTTACACACTATATGCGTTCAATTAAATCAACGGCAGAACAACACATTATGAGACAAGTGTGTCAATTAACATCAACGGCTTTCATAGATACCATGAAATATTCATTACCGAATATGAATGAACAAATGATACAGACAAAATTTCAATATGAATGTTTAATGAATATTGGAGTCAGTGATTTGGCATTTAAACCGGTTGTAGCTGGAGGAACAAGGTAAGAATACTTTATTAATTATTCATCAATTCATAAAAAGAATAACAATTGAAAACAGATATGTTTGTTAAGGTCAAATATCATACATTATGTTGATAATAATCAATTTATTAAAAACGGTGAACTAATTCTACTCGATGGTGGATGTCTGTACAAACATTATGCAAGTGATATATCGCGGTCATGGCCGATATCTGGTATGCTAAGTTTGTTTTAAACAACAATTGTATATATTTTAATATTGTTTTTGTTTGTGAAAGGACGTTTCAATAGTGAACAGCGGCATCTATACGAAATATTATTAACTGTTCAAAAAGAATTACTTGACATATGTACTACTAATATGTCACGAAAAGGTTTGAATGACTTCATGGAACAACGATTAGCCAAATATTTACAAGAAGAACATATTCTTTCACGTAAAATATTAACTGAACATGAAGTGAAGAAAGTTGTGGAATATTTGTCATCAACAGCCGTTTCTCATCATCTTGGTATGTTGAGATGTTAATGATTAGAATTATTCAAATTTTGATGCTACATTTTTGTATTTTAGGAATGGATGTACACGATTGTGCATCAATTCCATTCAATGAGAAATTTGTTTCTGGTAACGTGATTACAATCGAACCAGGTATATAAACATTTAGTTTGTATTGTATTAAAAAACAATTTGAAAACATTTGTTTTTGTTTATATCAGGGCTATATATTCCTGAAACGTGTATGGATGTTCCATCTGGTTACCGTGGTTTAGCATTTCGAATTGAAGATGATGTGTTGATAACACAAAACGGTTATGAAGTTTTGACACAATCTTGTCCAAAAGAAGTAGATGATCTACATCAGATATTAGATCAGAGAATAAAATAAAATAAAATATTGTGTCGTTATTCGATCATCAGTTTTCCATGAAAAATAATGTTATTTCTAAATGATATGTGTTAATTTCTTTTGTATTTTACGCACTTGTTTTGATAGTTTAATTTTTACTTTTTTGCCATTTTTGACCGGTAAATAGAATCATAAAACACGTGTGTTATATTGAGAACTTTGTTCACCCACATATTTCGAAGTATACACTAATTCCAACTTTATAAAAACTTTGCATCTTTGAAAATGCACAAGTATTTATCACCATATTCATCTAAGTAGATTCTACTCATCTTTTCGTTGTTTGAAAGGAGGTTCTACGTTCGTTGACATCGTGTGTAAAATGGAGATTATACGTGTTCTTTTGTGCCGATAGTGTATTTTTTTTAATATTTTTGTTGTTCATTGGAAAAAGACCAGTGCATTTTTGATTGGACTTAAGTGACCAACAGATTATTATTCATTCGTGATATTACACATACAACGATGATTGACAGGAAACAAGCCCAACTGCTAAATTGATTTTCCTACCTTCTGTCGGAATTTGAATACTGCTGTTATTCGTTGTCTTTGTCTTGCAACATTTATCTAAGAATGTGAAAATGATGACAAATCGATATTATTCTGAATGTACTCTGTAACGTTTCTACTAGGCATTCTAGTGACACATCCAATTTCTTGGATGTTCTTACTTTGATGATGATTTTGATAATGTACTAGTTTGATGTAATATACCAGTACAATGAACACAATTAAAACTAATAGTCCGACGAGTACATAAACCAGTTCAACTTTTGTTTTTCGTTGCTCAATTATATTTTTATAAAGAATTAATTGATACTCAGATAATGCACCATTTAGTTTTTTCGTTACAACATTTATTAGCCAATGACTATTTTCAATTTTCACTGATAGTTCTTTTTGAGTTTCATGAACTAATGATGACGATAAGGATTGATTATATGTTGTTGTTATTGAGGATAGTGTAGAAAATGTAAAAAGTGGTAGAACAAATAACATGATAAATCTGTAGCAAATAACAAAAAAAAAAATGAATGAATGAATGTTCAAAATCAAACGTCACCAAAAAAACGCACACACAATTTTGGAAAAGAGAACAATGAACAACAGCAACTTGTTCGAAAAATTAACAATTGAAATTAAAATATATTTCGCGCTTTAAATTAAAGAACCATGAGCTTTTATTTTCATGTATTTAAAATATTGTATAAAATACGATTCAAAATTACCCATCGTTTGATCCTCTCCTTTGACCCTGGGCGGTTAACGGTTGTTTCCCTCGGATCACCTGTCCGATAGCATGCTGACTACGTTGTGACATACACTAGCCCTCGTAGCTAGTATGTGGTTAGTCAGTGTCTATGGGGAGCTCAAGCGATTGAGCGAAAGGACTCTGAGTCAGGCTGGCCTTCTGTCTAGAGCTACAGCTAGTATTAATTGTATGGAAGATATCGGGCTTACGAAGCTGTCTCCGGGCAGCACCCTATACCGCAAGGTAGCCGAAAGGCGGGGTATACTTCCTTCTTCCTTCTAGACTAGCAGAACTATTTGTGGAGTTTCAAAAAAGGTAAGGCATGACTTTTCTATATGTACCGTATGCCGAAAGAACACAGACATCGAGAAGATGAAACCGAAAAGGTTGGAAACAAATAAAAAAGGAATGTGTTAAATGATAATAAACAAGCTAATCAAAGTGAGAAAGATGATAATGTTGTTGATTCAAATTGACTCATATGCTGAAAGAAGAACTAGATAAAAACCTTAGAGAGAAGGGGTTACTCATTAAAAAGTATTCTCGTAGAACTAGTATAAAAATCAATTTTTTTATACCTACATGGCTACATTTTGTATGTTCGGCGCTTCGATACGAGTTGTTACCTATTGAGTTACCGTTCGAACGCGTTTCACCTTGTTTTTCGTGGATTTGGATATGGAAACTTGTTATTGCTTCTTTAATCATCATTTGAGCCATCCTACTTATTTCATCGAGAAAAAAAGTAGTCTATATGTGGATGATGAAAGGCAACCGGGCCGTTTTTCCTACGATCTCAGAAAAGGATGAGGACCATAAATTGAGAAAACTTATTGAAATTGAACTCGTCATTCATGAATACCATACAATGGAAGCATCGAATTGAATTGAGAAAGAACGTGTCCGCATGGCGCTTAATCATCAGAGCGTGTTTCTTCCCTGGAAGTCACCATGTCTTATTCCAGAGACACGCATATGAATGTATGCCTAGTCCCATAATGCATTCCACCGGACTTCTTGTGCCCGAAACACGATTACTATCGAACTTGTAATTAAAAATGGTTTTCTTCAGTATAAGCATGTTCATTCGATAGTAGCCGTATTTCGGGCTCAAGAACATATTTTGACGCGTTCCTTGTTTCAAGAGCGCCTTCTCACACGTATCTGGAACAAGCGACGCATTCTGAAGGTTAAGTTACCATTTGAACGTGTTTTTTTCCAGTTTTGTCAGTGTCTGTTTTATATCAGCTTCCATTCGTACTATCGATCTGTAATTCAGACAGATCTGTCATATATATTTGACTCTATCCTCATTCATTACTTTCTGGCAAGTTTATTTGTTAATCCATCATTACATCTTAGTTATAACCGATACATATTTGAATAATTAAGAGCATTTTGTCACACTCATGCTACACTTGGTAGCACAATGCACGTAGGAATTACTTACTCCCTCGTTTATAACAGTATCAAATGTCATTGTTTAACATTTCGTAAAAATAGTCAATTAATATTTCAACGATATATTGAGCCCAGTTGTTTGAAAATTATATTTTTATTTTCGTTTCCTCAGTAATCAGATTTTTAACACTCTTCGCTGTGATCCGATTACTTAAAACGTTATGGAGTCTTTAAAAAATACCTGCGAGTGAAGTACTAAGAGAACGATCAGTTGAATATTTAAATCGAAGTGTGTGAGAATGCTTTGTTTGATTGGAATAAATGGTTTGACAGCATCTATTTCTCACTGATATTTGCGTGTACAATATAGTTCTGCAAGAGAATCTCTTTCTAACATATCTTTTTTCCATTGCATTTCATATTATTATTCATTATGAGAAATTTGAATAAAAACTTTACTAAAGGAAAATGTTGAAGAAGCAAATACCTATATGAAAGTAATTATACATGCAATATTTCAAGAATAATGTACGCAATATATATATATATATATATATTTATATTTGTGATTAAAAACGAAGACAAAGCATATACAAATATTAATTTTTAAACATGTCACTTAAAAGTTTTTCCATTGGTGTATTGCCAATTATTCGTGAAAAATAGATTTTTTCAATTAATGATGATGGTATTGATCGAAGTAATGGCAATATCAACAGTAAACGCCCAAATCTAAAATATCAATAGCAAGAACGTATTAGTAATCGCTCATCTTTCATGCAATGAGTTCGTTGTACCTTGTTTGTTGTGTTGGATGATGAAGTTGTGTATGTTGTGATAATGTTATTTGTGCTTGATCTTGTAAATTTTCAACGATTTTTGGTTCTTTTAAACTTTTTGTTTCTAAATGAAAATTAAATGTAAATTGATATTATTTTTTTATTCAATTATCTACCTGCTCTAAACAAAATAATAGCTTTTAAACAAGCAAATTCAATTGGATCAAGTTTTAGTTGTTTAAATCGATACAACAAATCATTTAATGTTCGAAATAATACTTTATCATTAATACATTCTTGATTTGTAAATAATGGACCACCATCAATGGATAACGAACATTGTATAGCCCATAAGAGAAATAATTCAGACCAAGATTCTTCCAACAAAATAATCTGAAATAAGAGACTAGTCAGTAAGTTAAGAGTACATTAAAAAAACTAACTTCTCCTCAACTTTTCTGATGAATAGTCTGAGTCTTAGAATCAAAACCTACTCTCAATCTTAGTTATTCATTGGTACAACAATGGTCAAAAAGAGTTTTCCGTCGACTATGTTAAATCTGATGAAAATATGTAGAGACATGTGCTGCATATCCTTCGATCATAAAAAGTGCAATATTTTGTCATATAAAACAACACTTTCTTCTAGGTTACAGGACGGAATCTGATGCACTGTGCAATGCATGTTTCCACATATATTCTTCTTTAATAGTTCTTTTATTTCTTCCTTTTTACTTCGTAGTTTATTTATATTGCTTAACTAAACGTTTCGATTAATAAAAATCTTCATCAGTAGTTGACAATAAAAACAAATGTTACAGAACAAACAAAGATTAGAACAACCAAAATCTAAAATTAATAATAGCACGTTAACGTTATATCATAGAAAAAGAATTATTCCTTATTAATCTTTTATTAATTTTGAATAGTCAACTTTTTCTTTGATTCTCAGATTATATCTGGAATTTTCTGTTCTTAACACTGTATTCTTAATTTTCTCCTTATTGCGTCTACGAAGTAAAAAGGAAGAAATAAAAGAATTATTAAATATTATCAACTTCGTACATAGTAAACAGTAAAAAGACGCAAGCCATATTCTTCTTTATCATTACTTGGTCATCTTTTTAAAAAAACCTAGCTTCTCATATATAATTTCTAGAAACTATGAAAACCCGTTCTTGCCTCAAAAGTAGGCCATCAAAAATAGTCAACTTTGCTCTACCCAAGTCGACCAAAACGGATATCCGTTACGGACCGTCTACTGGACGCAGGAATACGCCCCGAAACATCATAAAAATCGGCCCGTATACGGCCCTATTTTATTTATGTTAGGGTCCGTATTCCTGCGTCCAGTAGACCGTCCGTATATGGACCGTATCGTTCGACCTCGGTATCAAATCAAGCGTTTTTCTCAAAATCGATTTTTTTCTAAACCAAGATCTACTTTTCTGATGGAGGGGAGATGCTTAATAACAACAAGTGCTTTATCCTTGTTTGAATATTTATATACAGATCAATCATACACACGCATATACATACACAAGAAGTATCATTAGATGAAAAAAAGGTGACAGATGTATCAAATATCTTTTTTTACGAGTACATCATTCATTGATATAATCATCATGTTCATGTTCATAGGTTTAATTTCTTGTTTTTCTCTCCTTCATAAAAAGAAACAGTCTATTTATTTGAAGATTATTACTCTCTCTCTCTTTATACACACATACACACACACACATACATACACATGATCCCTTTACTATAATTGAATTTTCACTACTGTGTCTGAAATTGTTTTTTAAAACATTGAAAATGTGATGAGCGCATTCCATCGATACTTCACTTCAAAAAGAAAAAAATCCTGCTCATTCTGCATACAGTAGATAATAATCATATTCAAATTAGAGAAATGGTGACAATAAGAGATCATAAAATAATGATATGCATGTCTGTCAAACAATTAACATCAAGAAGCTGCAATCGTTCTGTCTATCTCAAGATAGTCTTCTAGAGAAAAAAACAAAACAGGACAGAACCAAGCTTTTGTATCCGGATTTTAATATTAATTTTAAAATTTTTGTGTAAAAAGAGCGGTGTCCAAAACAAATGTGATTTGTTAACAAAGAATCTTTGGTAAAAAGTGTATCTATTATGGTTACTTATGACTCTGTTGTATGATTATTTTTCAAAATTCACAGAATACTTGATTTAACAAACACTAAATTATCACCTTATTCAGTTCATCCTTTTGTTGTTGTTCTTTTTTGTTTACTTTTTCGTGTCCTTTGAAATAAAAAAATTTGATCGCGCTGAAGTTTATCAACAGTCAATCGAAAATACACTATACAAATCTGTAAACTTTGTTTTTCTTTTTTTTTTTGAAATGACATGATAGAGGATTAAATATGTACACAAAACAATATATAATCTGTGTAAACCATTTTATCTTTGAACTTATGGATGTGTGATGAGAACTCATCTTCTTCTTCTTCTCAAATAATACAATTTGTAAATATGTGCGATGATGTGACATACGAACTCGTTGTTAAAAGAAAATGTATTCTTTTTCTTGTGAAAAAGAAAGAAAATTAAAATTATCTTAAAATTGATCCTATCGCGCTATTTCTCAAACAATAAGAAAACATTTGTCTTGAAACTGATATTTTATATTTTATACTATTTTATTACTTACTTGATCTCTAAACGGTAAACTAGAAAATGTTGGTAAATGTTTAATCCATCGAACAATCATCAATAATATTTGTGCTGCAATGGCATAAACCGAATCATTTGTTTGAATATTTTGATTTCCATAAAGAGCATTATCCATTATTGTTGTCACTAGACGTTGATTTGATGATGCTGTTCCATTTACATAGTTAACTCGATCATAACTTGAAGAATTTTCTAAAATTATATCTATAGTTGTGAAATCTATTGATTTAATTTATGAAACAAAATATACCATCTTGTTTAATGTTCTTTTTACTTTCAAATGAATTTTCACTTTGTAATGAATGTTCATCCGATTTTCCAGATTGTGGTGATGAAATTATATTTGAATTATTATTTGCTGCATTTGAGTGCATAACTGATATTGTTGTACCATCACAATGAAAATCAACAGAATCAGGACGAACTTGAGCACTATTACGAGGTTGACGTTCATTCTGTACAGCTAGAGAGAGAAAGAAAAGAATCCATCAATTGAGATTATTTACAAGTGTGTTTATTGCACTAACCTTCTTTGATCATTCCCATTTGCATACACTTTTTCAATCTACATGCTTGACATTGATTACGATGTGCTTTATCCACGACACACATTCCCGTATTTGCTTGACATCTTAAGTAGAAAATTTTGATAACTCTTAATTTTAAATTTATTTTTTAGTAGTTTTTATACCGATAGATTAATTTTCTTCTTACACTTCGTTTAAAGAATCCACTACATCCATTGCATGCTAATATTCCATAATGTTTTCCACTGCTGATATCACTGCATACGGCACAAGTTAAACCTGTTAATTTATTATTACTGTTTACTGTTTGTGGTTGATTTCGTTGTTGTTGTTCAATGGCTGCATTCATAGCTTGTGTAGCTGCTGCAAGACTCGCTTGAGTTTCAGTGTATTTAGCCATATTAGCGAAATAAGCTTGAGGTGAAATTGGATAAGGATGCACAACATAACGATGATTTGAATAGGATTGAGGATGAAGAATTTTTGAAGACGATGATGACGAGTGGGATGTAGATGAGTTTAACGGTAAACACATTGATAAAATACCAAATGGATTCGAATCGTTTGTAGATAAAGTATGATCTGTGTTTACTGTTGATGATGTTTGCTCTTTATTATTTGTATCAGATGCTTCATCGCTATTCTCTTCAACATCGTGTATACTCGATGATGGACTTGCATTCGTTGAACACTCTGAAGCTTTCGATGAAGATTCTAAAAAAAGTAAAAAACTTATTTTTCTAGTGAAATATATCCGGATATAATTCACGTTCGTCTGACTAGTCTTTATAAAATGATACATTTCTAAAACAGTTTTTCTAGAAAAAGACACAAATGAGAAGACAAATATATTATTTAGAAACTTTTTGACTTTTGATCAAAACAATTGTTTGATTGAACCTTTTGTTTAATGTAATACAAGATAAGTGTTTCCTAATTTTAAAAAAAGAAAATTCATTTTGAACTTGTTCTTAATTTTGATGTATGAAAACAAAATCTTTCAATTTATGAACTGTTATATTTTAATATTGTGATAGAGTAACGTTTTCCTATTGCAAGATAATAACTTTCAAATGATTAATAATTTCTACTCTTTATTACTATAGTTCTTCAGTAGAAAAGTGACGTTATGTAGACAAAAAAATAAAGAAGATTTTTTCATTTTCTTATACTTGTTAAACGCGTATATCTTGTTATCATGACAAGTTTAATGATGTCAATTTCGCAAAAAAAGAAGGATAGACTATTTTCATTTGATTGACACTAAAAACGGCATGAACTCAGCATGAAGTATAATTCATTGATCATTTCATCGAATATTCAATATAAGATATTTAAATAACGTTAAATCAATCATGATAAACACAGATTAAATTTGTAGTACGCTGTGACATACTCAAAATGAATTAAATATAAATGAAGTTAGTTTAAACTGCAATAGTGTGCGAGTGAAGATCGAAAACTATCTAAAGTATAAGAGTGTGGCACGTGTGAGAATATGGCAGGCAAAAGCACACATTATTATAAATTATAAAAAAATAAAACAAAACATAGTCATGCAGTATTAATCTAATCGAGAAATTGACATTGAATTTAACACATGCGACTATATATCTATTTATAATTTTCTAACTGAATTAGAAAAGTTAGTGAACTAGTGTTTCTGATCTACGGTATAGATCTTTGATCATTTTTCTCTGAGTTAAATATTTCTCATATACAGTGATGAAGAAAATTCTCATCAAACATGATCATAGAATGTTAACTGTTGTATAAGAATATTAACCGAAGATTATCTTTGAAAAGAGTGAACTTTAAAAGTTCTAGTTTTCATATACAAAAGACAAATTGAAAAGAAAATTTCTTTTTACGATATAACAGATTCAAGAATTTTTAGAAATTAGAAATAGATTTTTTTTCTTCTTCTCTTTATTATAGAATAAAGTTAGAATTTTGCAAAAAATTGATAAATTGAAAATCTACAATCAAGATCTACCTGACATTTTATAATATAGTATAAAATTAATGAGTTCTTAATTATTGTGTAGTAAACGGCAAACGCATGCTGAAACAAGAACAAAAAACAATTTCTATTTCTTTTTTCTATTCGTCGCTTATTGTCTCTATTGGACGTTTTGCGCTTGTCAATTTTTGTTTTATTTATTTACGCACGAATCGGATAGATATCTATTATAGAATACTTTGTAAATTGAATATCTCTTTTTCTATTTCTACATAAAAGATCGATTAGTGAGTGAGCTGTACATGTACATGTATTTATTAATAGAAAAAGATATATATCCCCAGAAAGATAAATATACTGTGTTTGTGCCGGAAAAAAAAAGAAATTTCTATAGAAAGTTTTGTTTCTTTTGTGAGAAGAAGAGAAGAAATGATTTTCTTCTTCTTTTCTTTTCTATTCATGTTTTTATAATTGGATAACGTATCGTCAACTTCCAATCCTCAATTTTTTCAATTTTCGCATCTCAACTCATATATCTTTATGTGTTTTTAGTATATACAGACAGAAGAAAATAATTCAAGTATTTCTAAAACATGTCAATGAACCATTCTATCAACCACACGCATACACACAAATCCATTATCGATGATTATTTACGGATGATAAAATACAAAGAATTTTTCTTACCAGGAATAATTAGAAAATAAAACGATCATTTCAAGATGAGCGTTTTTAAGAAGAAAAAAAAAAGAAGGAAAACAAATCGATAAAATATATAAACTATGATCTGAATGAAATCTCGTAGAAAACGTCACTCAAATAAGCCAAAAAATAGCGTTATTCTCTAACATATTTAGCATTTTTGATCTTTACAGAAAACTCTTAGTAAAGCTTTTCTAATTATTGGATGACATGCGCTTTTTAAGATATCCTACCGATATGACTCACAAGTCAAGAATCTCTAGATAAATTTTGAATTAGATATTGATCTTCTTCTTCTCCTCTTGGAAAACGGCTTTTTCTCTATATATTGGAAGCATAATGTTTTAGTCTAGAAAGGTGTTAAACTTGTCTTTCTCTCTATTTGCATTATAATCATTACTTACGATACTCACAAAGTGTATCCCATTGCAGGAGACGCTTTCAGAAATCGTAATTTTCTTCAAAACTAATGCATTGTGTTAGACATATCAATAAATAACCTAAAATGTTTGTGCTTAGATTTACTCTCTCTCTCGCTGTCACAGTTTTGCAAACTTTTTGAGCTGATCTGCTCCAGATCTTAAGAGTTGAAGTTTCTAAACCTTAACACTTTCCTGGTGTATGCTACATGCATCATCCTTTCATTCAACTAAGTTCCGTAGAAATGAGATGTGACGTAATTCTGCAGGACGCCGAAAAAAAGTTATATATCGTGAGAGAAACCTATGATTGTTGTATTGACAAGTCCTGGAATGAATGAATAGATGAGCAACTGATTTTCTCTTTAGCGATGCTCTTCCTATTGCTACTTTAGCACGAAATTTAATTCTTAGCAACGATGAAAAAAAAAAAAACGTTCAAAATCTTTTTATTTGTAGAGAAAATATAATTCTACAAAGTGGTGGGTAAGGGAGTGTTTACACGTTATGTAAACAGCTCATCTTTCTGGAAGAAATAAAATTGTATTTCAAATTTCAACTATAAACACCTGCTGAAACTGGCAAGAATATAAATTCAAAACTTTAACTGCATCATGTTTTAAAATAGAGTATCTGACTATATTTGAGACCGATTCTATCTTTGTAGGTATTCTCAAACCTCAGAAATTGATATCGTTGATCGATAAGTTTTCATTCGTATTTTATACATACCTATCTTAATCATTAACAAGCCACGAAAGACACTTTATGCATATAGTTCTTCACAAATTAGGAATATCGCCAATCCTATCTGATAGACTATTTGTTGACAGATTCATTTTTACTAAACGAAATTATCCAATAATATAGGACTTTAAATGATATTTTTTACTGATAAAATGAATGATTCCAGTGAAGAAGATAGTTTCTGATATGTTATATGTTTCCTGTTAAAAATAATTATTTTTTTCCATTACCCAACAGTTTAGCTGGCTAATAAGAAGAGAGTTTTTCACTATGTTTTGTGTGCAACTTAAATTTTTATAGTGTGATAATAAGCTCTAGCATAAGGTTTGATTTTAAATATTTTTGCTTACCAATATTTGTTGTCATATTTTTATGTCAAGTATCAATAATAATAAATAGTTAAAAAATCACCATGATTATCATCGATAAGGGATAAAAAAAATGTAACAGATAAAAATCATTACTAACTCTACTATGTTTAATCAAAATAAAAAAAAAAAGTAGTATTCATTGGTTGGATGTTAAAGATTATATTCATTGCCACTTCAACGAATCACAGTGGTGATCGTTGACAACAGAATACATAAAAAAAGTCCTTTTCGTGTTCTCTCTCTCTTTTTTTTTTTCTTCATATATTGACATGTCATAAAGCGCACTTGACACCCTACTTTTTTTTTTCTCTTCGTTATATGTTTTTCTTCTGTTTTTGATCTTCCATGTATTACAACAACCACTCAAACACATTTTTAATCATGTAGAAATAACTATAAATATTGATTCGTTTGTCTTTCTAGCTTCTTTTTCTATAGTTATTAAATGTTGATACAAAGATTAGGGTATACTCCGATGTGAATAGAGATATTTAAACAGGAAATATACTGTATAATAAATATTATAGGATATATATATTTCGATTTTTATATAGTTGTGAAAACTGATATAAATATTGAATTGCTTACAAGAAATTATATGAAGTACTATCATGCAATTAAATTTTTAAAAATGAAGGATATCACTAATACTTTTAGAAAAAAAATGTGCATAAATCTAATTATTATATATTTTACCAACAAAAACGAAAAAAAAATATTCTTATTACTACTAAGTATAATGATATGAATAGTTTTCTGATCAAAAACGTACTATGCTAAAGAGTTTATGATATATGAAGTTATCAAGTAATCAAGACGTATGCATTCATGAATCTTTTAACTGATACACTATTTATTATCTATCAATTCTATATTAGATGATTATTAATCCAATATTTGTATATATACAATAGTGCGCATACGTAGGATGTATACACTATGACTATGTATAATTTTTCATTTTGTTTTTTCTTCTATGTTTATCCTAACTATTTAAAATATAGTATAAAGTGATGAACATATCATTCTTTGTCTCATACCGTTTACACTGTGTATGTGTGTTTATGTTCTTGTTGACAGATGTCTTCATCTCTCAATGGCTTATCATTTCAATTAATTTGAACAATATATTATCTACACACGTACACATACACACGTGTATTGTAGAAAAAAAAAAAAATCGTTTTCTCTAATCAGTCTACTATAATACTTTCATTACTTCCCCTTTATTTTTATACCTGTGTCTAAAAATCAATCAACAAAATTTATTCAATAGAAAAAAATTTGATTAACATATATTTAACTCTGTTAAAGGCAAATGTGCTCAAACTATAATTTGATAATTGTTACAAATACGATGGATGGCAGTTACCAGCAAGCAAAGAAGAGAGAAAAAATAAATTTATTTTAACCAGAAATTGTTGTCAAACACCAGATTCATCGAAAGTGAGTATATTAATCTGAATACTACACTTAATTAGTTTGAAAATATCTTTTTTTCTAAGTAATTCCTAAAATATATTTAGTGACACGAGAGATAATGTCTATGATAAAATCAATTTCATGATCTAACACTAGATTTCGATGTAAAATGTCCATTAAGGGTCCAACAGTTCGCCCATGAACGCATGGAGATGCAGAATTGGAATCCATCAGCAATTCTAGATTGTACATAGTTATTAATATTCAATATGGGAATCTAATAGTAATAACAAACTTTGTTCTACTTTTTTAATTGGTAAAAATCTTTATAATGTTTTACATACTCAGGTAGATGTATGTGTGTGTGTGTGTGTGTGTGTCATAAATATTCGAATAATGAGGATTTTCAATTCTATGACAAATCGCGTCAGGTTAATCCTTATGATTGACATGCACACAAAGTACACACACACAACACAAGCGGTAGGTAGCAAAAGGAAAAAGAAACAACGCGGTTCAACATCAATTAACATTAAACTTCAAGTGTAAGACACACATTTTATTCCATCCTGCTCCCACGTTCAACAGATTACTATTATTATTATTATTACAACTATATACCGCCCAGTGAGTAACAATGTAGTAAAAAAGAGAACACGAATGTCAAAGATGATAATAATTACAAGAAGAAAATAAAATGAGAGTTTACTACGCTCATATAACTACCAACGCTTGCTACATGCAAAAATAATCTTAATCTTTCGTTATTCAGCTCATACGGCTGAGAAAATAAATATTTTTAAATAAATTACACTTTAAAATTCAAGTTTTTCGTTATTATTTATATAAGCAATCTCGATATTAAATACTATTCATTATTCAGACATACAATAACGATGATGTTATTTCGTGATATTCAAAAAAATTTCGTTAGTTTAATTCTACCTGATTCTTTCAAACTGAACATACAGTTCGATCTAACTAAGATTAAATAAAAATTTCAGTTCGAAATAAATGTTACGTGATTCAAAAGCTGTAGGTATCATCGTAAAAGTTAAAATTATACTATCCACAAAGTACATTTATCTGACGTCGGTTAACAACTAGGTAGTGGGTAAATTTTGTTTTGAAGTGATCTAAAAGCGTAAATGCATTAATGAATTGAGGTGATTTTGAAATGTTCTCTTTTAAAATGTTGCTAAGACTTGATGCTACAACTTAACAGGATCGGATTTTTTAAATTTTTCGGTTTAGTTTACTCAAAGCTTTTATTAAAAAAGTTTCGCTTTACTTTTCGAGAATCTTATTTTTCTCAAAAATGAGATTGAAAATCAAAAATTCAATTCTGTTAAGTTGTAGCGTCAACTCTTAGCTACAGT